ATTTGAACCCAGCTTAAATTCTTACCTTGTTAAGCCTGCCTGTGAGATTCACAACAATTTTCCCAGCTCTGTGGTCATCAATGATCTCAAATTCACCTATGTAGCCTGTGAATTCAAGAACACAATCCGTTACTTTCAACGTCTTAATCCAAATCGAGAACCAAAACACCGGGCGCTCTCTGGGATGGAACAAACCCAATCATTTGTTATTTCACAGTAGCATTCCTTAAGTTAGTGAGATCCACACTAGAATACAGGCCAATACCAGATTGGGTCAGGAAGCCCAGAGTTCAAATCCCTGCTTATTGAGACCTCATAAAATTCACAGACTCCATTCAGATACCAATACAGGCAGTCCTTGACCTACAGCCACTCATTTAGCAACTGTCCAAAGTTACACAGGCCCTGAAAAAGAGTGACTGGCAGTTTTGTCCTCATGACCCTTGCAGCATCCCTACATGGTCAAAAATCGGATGCTTGGCAACTGGCAGGGGGGAAAAAGTTATAAAATTGGGCACAACGCATTTAACAAGCTCCGTCTTCCCAACTTTTTTAATCGGTCTTCCCAACCCAAAGATTGATGCTTTTTTTTGGACCGTTTCTAACAGCCCGAGGTAGCGTGCAAGGCCGAGTGTTTTCCAAAATACTTACACGTGAGTTTGTACGTCCTGGGACTTACCGTGTTTCATCATCACAGTTAAGAACCGGACAATTACTTTGGAGCACGGCCTGATGAGAACTTGACGCTTTCCACGTTTCTCTGCATTGTTGATGCTTTTAAGCGCATCTGCCAGAACATTCATGCGCACCATGATGCCTGTATAAACGACACAAACATTTGAGAGCATGTCAGGAGTCTAGAATTGCAAAGGATGCTTTAACACAGGGTGGCCTGACTATCGCTGAGGTCCCCCCAAGACCCTCTTTAAGATTTTATAAATCGAAAATTATTTGCTAGCCTCTACTGAAAAATAATACAATATTAAAATCCCCTCCCACTATTAAGAAGCCATAGTGGCAGCAAATGCATCATTTTTTTTATATTTAATATGACATATATCAATAAACACAACCCATACCAACAAAAACTCTTTTTGGGGGTCCTCCATAATGTTTAAAAGTGAAAAGGGATCCCGAGAGAAAAAAAAAACTTAAGAAACATTGGTTTTAAATAGGTTGCTTACATATGTTCAGTGCAACACCAAACGCTACAAGATTGTTTAAAATTCCACTTTTGAACACACAAAGGCTGACAAGCAATATAATGAATTACATGCACTAACTGTGTAATCCCCAAGAAGTATGTTGTATACAACAAAGTAGTGAATTCAGTAAAGACATTAAATGTAATTTCGTTCTTAATAGTGTTGAATGGGGGGTAATAAATGATAAGCTTGTTCGGGTTGCAACTTCCATCCTAAGGCCCAGCTATCCTACAAAACAAACTGTCTTCCAAACTCAGCAAATATTACACTAAAAAAGCATTATTTGAATAAATTATTTGTAAATTCAAATTCAATTGTCAGAGCAAACATCCAAAGCATGTTACAGATCAAGCCAAATCATCTCTTAAAGTAGCTGCTTTTTCACCTGATTCCTTTTAAAAAATAGTCTATAAATTTCTTATGTTCAGCATCTAAAGTACTGATTATACACTAAATTAATTCAGGCCAAGTTAAAGATAAAGTTCCACAGCCTTTAATGTAACACTGTTTACCTATTTTCTCCAGTTAAAAAGTTTGGCTGGATTGTGCCCAGAATTTCTAAACAAAAATGATAAAATGCTATTTAAAAAAAAAAAAGTTTGAAAGCCATGGCACAAAAATAACCCAAAGTGTGAATACTTATTTGCGGAAAGTTGCACCAATCCAGGATGATAAAATCTAAATTTGGCTCACTCTTGTGAGCTAGTCCACAAGTATTATTCAAAACCAGTTATTTCAGCAATAGTTAAGTTTGAATACAAAAAAGCTTTCAGATCTTGACTTCACAAAGTATTCTGTGATCTCTTTTTGGTACAGATCAAAGAAAACTTTTCAAATGCAAACCAAGATGAGTTACAACAGAAGTGTGGAACCTTTTCTTGGCAGATATTATCAAAAACTTGCTCTGAACGGCACAAATTAATTGATACCAAAATGCAGATTAAACTGGTAATATCTTCCTGAAACATTATCATTAAATACTGAATTTAGAAAGGACCACGTTTTCTCCTTATCCAAAGGCATGAACTAGTTTTTGTCTATGTTGAAAGTTATTATTTGAAAGTTATTATTTTGCATATGTACACAAGGGTGCATTATGCTTCATTTCTTTTCAGGACAAAAGTTGCAACCCAGAGCAAGTTCTGGTCCCTATTCTGTGGATTTATCCCTTCAATATCTGCAAAAGAGCTTAAAGCCAAGCAAAACATCATGGGAAGTTGGTTACATTTTTTTTTCCTACACAGCAGACCATCCCAAGCTTATATCTCTCCCAGGTGCATGTCCCGACAAGTCCCCATACTACAACCACCATGTTGCTTGGGAAAATCCAGGGAGTGTTGTGCAGCAGTGCATTTGAAGCAACCACAGGATGGATCCCTGTGCAGGATGTGGCATGGATGTAAACGGAAGAATGTCAGCATCGGGAGGCAGAAGGCTCCCCAATACAAATGGCAAAAAACAAAACAAAACCCAACAACACTTGAGACTTCAAATAGGGTTTTTTGCCCATAATTCTGCCCTCAACCATCATGGAAGACAAGGCTACGCAGGACGGGCACTTGGCAACAAGTCGGGACAGCCCACTTTACAAACTTGGGGAAAGGGGGAAACCAGCCCCCCCCCCCCGCCCCAGCAAGAGATGCAAGGCGTCTCAGCCCCAAGGCAAACCTAGGTTTGGCTGCAGCATCGCCCCAGATTCCTGGCTCAGTTTATAGAGGGGTTTCTCTAGCCAGGATTGCCCCTTTCCAGCTTGCCCCCCCCGCCCCTAACCAAGGTTTTAGAGGGGGCTGCTTTGCACTGCACTGCCCTCCACCAGCCTGTTCCCACAACGTGCTTTAACCCGGGCATTAATAACCCACGTCCTGGGTTCACACGACACGTGGTTAACCTAGCGGGGAGGGAACTGGGCTCTGAAGTTCGGGCCAGCCCGTCTCGGCCTCCCTTCCTCCCAGCTGAGGCCTGTCCCGCTGCCTCAAGCCAGCTTGCCTTCCAAGCTCCACTCCCAGGCATTCCTCTCCCAACCAGACGCCGCCGCCGCCGCCGCCACCCCCCGGCTGGGTTCAGGCCGGCGCCGCCAGGGCCAGGAAGAGCGCGGCTTCCTCCGAAAGAGCCGAGCGAATCGAGCGGAGCCCCGGCTTGCCGGGACCGGCGTTCCAACGGGCCGAGGAGGCGGGATGGAGGCGATGCGGGACGGATCTTAGCGGGGACCCAAAGCGTCTCGTTACTCACCAGGGCAGCAAGATGGCGGAAAAAGGAAGGCGGCCGCGCGCGCGCGGGGTATTATGGGAATTCGAGGCGGCAAGAGAACCAGGAAGGAGCGGAGGCAGAGAGAACTTCCGGATCCAGCCTTCCGGATTCCCCCATGCGTCGGGTAATGGGCTTGGGAGACTATAGAGAATGGAAAGGCAAGAGGGGTCATCTTTGTTTGGGCTGCGGTGAACAGGAGCTCGTTTTCAATTCCGCCTCCAGCCCAGGGGATTTTTTTTTTGTTTTTTTTTTCCGGGTGGGAAGAAAGGAATGTTAAGGCAGTGGTAGGCAACCTTGGCTCTTTTATGACTCGTGGACTTCAACTCCCAGAATTCCTGAGCCAGCGTGGCTGGCTCAGGAATTCTGGGAGTTGAAGTCCACGAGTCATAAAAGAGCCAAGGTTGCCTACCCCTGTGTTAAGGGAATTGCAAAGCACAACACGGTTGCCCTGCAACCCACAAAGTAGTTTAGGATAACACCGGATCATGGCAATGGTTTACGCAATTTTAAGGGGTTTCTTTATTGAGAAATGTAAAGATTTAGTTCGCTGAAGAAAATCTTTTCTAAGGTTCATGCAGCAAGGATCTGCATCTTGTAGTAAAATCTGTAAAAGCTGCTAACAGTAGACCAGGGGGTCTTCAAACTTGGCCCTTTTATGACTTGTGGACTTCAACTCCCAGAATTCCCCAGCCAGGCACGCTGGCTGAGGAATTCTGGGAGTTGAAGTCCACAAGTCAAAAAAAAGGGCCAAGTTTGAAGACCTGATATAGACTTTAAGAGTGGACTTCAACTCCCAGAATTCCTCAGCCAGGCACGCTGGCTGAGGAATTCTGGGAGTTGAAGTCCACAAGTCACAAAAGAGCCAACTCTGAAGACCTGATATAGACTTTGAGTGGACTTTGCCCGATACCACCACACCACAGACCATAGTTTATAGACAATAGATGGTTTTTCGCTTCCAAAGTCCAACCGTATTTTTAAAACGTTGCATGAAATAATGGTTCTATTGATATTGACCCGAGGAACTGGACCAGCTTGGTGTCCTCCAACTGTGTTGAACTGCAAGGTCCGTGTCCCAAGTTGAAGTGGCTGGTGATTGGCACCAAGAAGTGTTGGGAGGATACCTCAATGAAATATTTCATTTTTTTAAATTTCGGTGAGAATTTTTTACCCAGATAGATCTTTTCGTCATCAGCTTAACCCCACGTTGTGTTCAAAGTAGAATCATCTTTCCAAAGACGGAGGGGAAGTGATCAACAGATGTCTTTAGCAGTTGTAGACCTAAGCTGGGGTCCAACATTGGTATGCAAATGGAGCCCCAAGCAAACAGCTTGTCAACAAGTAAAGAGCAAGTTAAGAAAAAGTGAGAAGAAAATGAAACCATCAAGATCTCAGCAGCTTAGTATCCCAGGAATAGCAGACATGTTTTGCTGGGGGGGGGGGGGTTCTGGATAATGATTGAATAACCTAGGGACTGGGGCTAGCATAGACCTTCAATAAAACATTACTCACATTTTTCTTCTGTTCACATTTTTATTTCAACTTTTAGTTTCCTAAGTATACATTAACATCCATCTATATTACACATTTAACACAAAGGAAAGGACAAAAAATGGTCAGCACGCAAAACTTATCCTAACTTCCCGGTCCTATTTTTTATACATGGCAAGCGTCTTTCCTCTTACAATATTGTTTTGCTCATTTAAAACACTGCATTACAATCCAGGCTAAAAGTCGGTTCTCTTCTAGAAAAAAAAAATGATAAAAAAAAGAGAAAGGGAGTGACAGTAAAGTGTGTGCTTTAAAAAAAACAAAACTTAAAAACGACGAATCAAAATATCAAAACACTTTTTTGTCATTTGCTTGTGCTTCTGCCATTGCATGTTTTTACTACAACGAAAGGGCGTATATTTTAGAGAAATAAATCGCCCTGACAGGGTTCAAATCTCAAAGTATCATTCACCTGTCAAAAGATACAGCTTTTCCTACTATAGGAATATTGCGCAGTATTTATATATTTAATCACTATCTAAAAGTAAAGGTGGCATTAATAAAAGCTTAAGTCACTCCTACAATGTTGAACCAACTTGGCATCTTCAAATACAAGTTTTCAATTGGTATGGAGAAGCACTATCTTGGCCAAGTTTAATTTCTCCAAAAATAAATTCTAATGCCACAAAACACCATGAGTTTGGTATCATATTGGAATTAGTTTATCTGAATCTCTGCATAGCACTAAATAGATTCTACTAATTTTAAGTTTATCACAATTGATTGAATTAATCTCTCAACCAAAAATCTGCATTGCCAATATATAGATAATAATTACCTTGTGCCACTTTCTCATCCCACACTTACCAGTCAAACACACTGGTGTCACTGGAAAAAGCAAATTTTACCATGGGAAAAAGAATAAAGATAATTTAGATGTGCTTAAGCCCAGGAGGGAATAATACTTTTGACTGATTTGGCCAGTTTGTGTGTTGATCATCACCCAGTCACTATGATGTATTTGTATTAATTCTAGGTAAATAAAGGAAAAACACGGTCCAACTTATGCAGCCAAACCAATTTTGCCCAAAGCAGATTTTTAAAATGCGCTCCTTTATTTAATAGAAAACTGTAAAAAATTTATACTGGTGGCTTATTAATTAAAATGAGGCAGTTCTAAGGCAATAATATAAAAAGCATTAAGCTTCCTAACCACTTTTATTTTGCTGGAAAAATTGCCTAACGGTAATTTTAAAAAACCATTAAGGTTCCTCGAGACTGGTTTCAAACTGGGAATAACACTGTTCATTCATTTGAAGTTATGAAATTTAAATTCATATTGGAGACAAATAGGATATAGTTGCTTTAATTCAAAATAAAAGCAAAATAGCAAGAAGGAAACAAAGGTAAACATGTTCACAAGATGGATGCATCAAGTATTTTCAACACATTTTTTTAGACCATGTTTGTTAAAATCATCAGAACACGACATCAAAATTACAGCAATTTAAACATAAAAAGCTGATTTCGCTTCCTCAACCTGTTTCCTGTACAGTTCCAGTGCAATATAGTTTATTATGGAGACGGGTTAACTTGGATGCACAATTCTAGCAGCCTTGCTTATTCAAATCACTGTAATCCACAATTTAAAATACGAATTGTATTCATTTAATCTGGAGGATATTGCCAAATAAATCTGGTCAGTCCAGTGTGTGTCCGTAAAACACTTAGAAAGAGTACAGAAGTTTAGCTGTTTTTTTTACACCAAAAATATTAACACAGGATAGCTCCACACAATTATAAATCAGCTTACCATCACCAATAATTACTGATCCACAGCCTTATTACACTAAAGATTGCTAATCACACTTACTAGGAGAATGACAGTCTGTGTTAACACACTGTATTAATGTGTGGTTTGGGGACCAGGTGGTTGGGAATTGTACAGCAGAAAAGGGTCCCACATGAAAGTTAAAAGGCAATGGCTGGTATAAGCACTTCTATACTATTAAATACGCAGCAAGTCATCTGAATTGTTCCCAGAACAGAGTTATATAGTTGGGTGAGGGAGCAAGCAACACTTCATTCATTTTTCTTCTCTTTGTGCTTCAGGAGCTTGTTGACCTCCCTTTTTGCCATTCCAGCATATTTGGAAATTACCCCATGTTTGTTTAATCCAGGGAACAACAAGACGAAGCACACTTTGAAAAAGCAAAATAAAAATAAGTTATCATCAGTCTTTTTCTGCTCCAAGTTTCTTTCCCGCACTTGCTAATTTAAATATTCCCATTTTCTGGCAGAGAAAAAAACGACCATTTCCACACCCACCCCACAAGCTGTCAGCTTTATCTATTGCTTACCAATAAGATAAGTCAGGAAGAGGTTATGAACTTGCTGTCCTATCCAAGCGATCACAGCTAACAAACACACCATTGTTGTGAAGTACTGGAAGAGAGAGCACACAAGTAATCATTATAAAATACAGCTTCTGAAGGCATTGTAAAATGCTCTATTCAGTTCGGCATTTCCTCCTGGCCGTTAACAAACAAAACAGTTCACTTGTTTATTCTGGATAAGATTCTATTTTACGGACTGATTCAAAGGCGCGACAATCTGATTGTCCTCAAGGCATAAATGCATAAAAGTGCTATCAGGGACTCCTGGTAAAGTCATTGCCAGCAAGTAAAATCAAAATATAATTTAAATGAGATGGTAGGTGCACATTCTAAAAGCCCACGTTTAAAAATGTACACTTAAATAAAGATGGATGCTGGCTAAACAAATGCAAATCAGGTGTAGCAATTAAGGCTTTCGATGTTACTGGCCCAAAGCTGCTTTTTCAAAAGGCAATTGGACTTTATTTTTCCTTGAAGACCGTCAGCCTGCTTCGTGAACTGAAGAAGCTTCTTGGATAAGAAGCAAAACGTCTTCAAGAAAAAAACTAAAGAAAGTCCAATTGCCTTCTAAAAAAAACATCTTTGGGACAATCGTGACCTGGACAACTGAGAATCTCCATAGGCTTTGATTTTACTACACACACTATCATCTAGACCAGTGATGGCGAACCTTTTAGAGACCGAGTGCCCAAACTTCAACCCCAAACCCACTTATGTATTGCCGGGCGCCGGGTGGGCGTGGCCACCGGGTGGGCGTGGCTAAAGTCATGGCAGATGGGTGGGCGTGGCCAGGGTGGGCACGGCCAGCTTGATGTTGCTCCTGGGGAGGGACGCCTGTGGGGGCTGGGCAGGGTTGGGGGAGATCCAGGGGTCTCTGGTGGGTGGGGCGATGGGCAGGAGGCTGGTTCTGCAGGGTGAGGCCAGGCAGGGCGGGGATGCCATGTCAAAGGGCAAGGCGAGGCAGGGGCGGCTGCTGCCTGACACCATCGGCCCCTGCACACAAAGGCCAGCAAGCACATGGGTGCTAGGATGCATCCGGCCACGTGGGACCTCGCCGAGTTAGCAGGCGGCTGGTTGAAGAGGACGGTTGCCATCTCTGGGGCATGGTGCGCGTGCCCACAGAGAGGGCTCCGAGTGCCGCCTCTGGCACGCGTGCCATAGGTTCACCACCACTGATCTAGACTGAGTTAATCAGGTTATGGGATTGGAACGTCTTCCGAAAAACAAATGAATTACCATTTTAGGTTTCTCTTCCTTAAATGTGAAAAGGCGTTTCCACCAGCCAACGATTTTGCGGCGTGTTTTCACCAGGTTGCTGCAGATTTCGTGGAAGCGCTGCTGTTGTTCAGTTGTCCTTTGAGAAAATTTTCAAAGCAAAACACAGATATATTTTTCCTCTCCTGAACAAAATAAGTCATCCCTGCATACACATTCGTCATTCATTTATTCCCCTTCCATTTTTCCTACTCCAATAAAGTATCTCCTTAGACCAGGGGTAGGCAACCTTGGCTCTTTTATGACTCGTGGACTTCAACTCCCAGAATTCCTGAGCCAGCCTGGCTCAGCTTGGAAACCTCTCCCTTTCCCCTCAGCATGGCTGGCTCAGGAATTCTGGGAGTTGAAGTCCCTGAGTCATAAAAGAGCCAAGGTTGCCTTAGACTTATTATCCCTGTCTATTGACTGTTAGGTTTTCCATACATTTAAGATCTAAGTTATATTCTCTGAAATTTTCTTTATAGAAGCTGCATTCATTTGCACTGACCACATAGGGATGAAGGAAGGGGTCATCAACTGCAAGCTGAAGTTTTATTCAAGATGGCAGTTTTCCGCTGAATATTTATTTGGTTCGAATCCTACTTTTTGTAACAGGAACTCAAGGGGTTTACATACATAGTGCTCGCTCCCTCCTCCTGTTTTATGTTGCCAGGTCAGCAAACAATTATTTGCAATAGGGAGGTTCCTAAGCTGCATTACCTCAAAATGTTCCAAGGGTGCTTCTGATGCATGGAATTGTTTGTTAAGTAAGCAAAATAAGAAAACAGAAGAGATTGACTCAGCCCATAGTTACCCAAGGGTGGGTAACGATGACAACTTTACGACCTATGGACTTCAACTCCCAGAATGCCTGAGCCAGCAGGAATTGGGAGTTGAAATGCACAAGTTGTAAAGTTGCCCATCCATGACCACGCTAGCAACAGTGGAAAGAGTCAGGAGTAGGTAGATTATTTTCATGGAGGGCTGTTTATTCCCAATTATTTTTTTTCTCTCTGACCAACACAGTTCACAGAGAAAAGCGTTGATCGGCGCTCATTTCTTTTCTTGAGTGATTTTTTTTACTAGGTTGTTTTTTTTAATAGGAACCATTCGTGGAATTTAATATTCCAACATACCATTTACTGGAGCCAAAGATTCTAGGAGCGAGAGCAGGTACAAGATAGTCAGCCAGACAAAGCAACATGACAAAGCAGGAAACACCTGACAGAACAGAGGGGTCCACATAGTAGATCAACCTGTTGAAACAAAGAAAGAATTGAGATAGTCATTCAACAATTAAAGCAAAACGTATGCAATCCAATCCAGAAAGGCACTCCCACAGGTTACCCAACCTTGCGCCACAAAAGACTCAGTGAGTAACCAGCAGCACTTTTGAATTACACTCAGTACAGCTTCTACAGACATGAGGTTACCTAAGCATACTAAGGTGTGCTCCTAACTAACCTGTTGCATTCTGGGCCGGCTACAACTTCTAAATAGCCTTCAAGGGAAGTCCTGTGTACAGCACATGGCAGTAATCGAAACAAAGGGGTGACTACTTAGCTTACCACCCCAAATACCCTGTCCACTTCCTTACAACCCAGAAGCTCAAACCTTCCAGGTAACCAAGTTACACTGTGCCTTACTCCACTTCAGAGGATGTGTACAAGGCAACGTTCAGCTGAAAGCAGATTCAAGCAATTTTATCCATTGGGCGCCTCGAATGGGAGGGATACCAATTTGATTTTTAATTACATTTTCATTTAAACTTAGATTGATTTTGACTAACGCAGCATTTCTTGTTGCATCAGAATTGATCCAGTGTTTGTTGCCAATCGTTGGTTGGGTTCTCGGCCAACAATATCATCTGCATGCGAAATTACAAGAAACATTCACGTTCTACCAACACACCTCCAACATTCTCCACAAGCACTTGTAATTAAATACGTGAAATTCTATCTACGTCCTAGAGGGAATACAAGGATTAGCATGCATGGTGCACTTTAATTAAAAATCGCAACTGATACACGAGTGCACTGGAGAGAGAGGGAAAGGAACAGGAGCAAGTACAGATCTGGGGATAAAATATATCACTTTGCAACTTGTTTCTGCAACAGAAACATAACTTGACTAATGGGAGAACGGGCCCAGCAGGTATTAAGAGGGAGCTGAGCCAAAGGAAAAACCTATTTGACTTTGAAAGACACAGAAGTTCATTACCAACCTGTCAAAGAAACTAGGACTGAATTGTAACAATTGGTATCCTCTATAGCCTGATATTCTCTTAAATGCATTGTAATCCATCACCATTATTTTTTATTTGCACCGAGATTGACAAGGCTACGTAAACAAGTCTCAAAATAAAAACGGACATTAAAATATCAGAACTGCAAATCCCGCTAGGATTTCTATATTAGTTTGGGAATATCGCTGCTATAAATTAAATGAATTCTAGGATGAAGCCACTTAAAAAATAACCTAGAGGGCTCCCGCTTCTAATTTAAAAAAAAAAAAAAAGCAAATATGTTACAAGGGACAAGTGGTATAATCTGTTTTGACACTTAAACAACTACATGTTTGCACACACAGAATTCACTGGCATCAAAGAAAACATCCCTTTAGGATAGGGAGGCCGCCGTTAAGTGAAAAAGACGGGTTCAAAAAAGTTTTTCCTACTACCCTCGGACCCAACTGCTATATGAATGTTTAACACTGGACGTAACTGCAGCCATGTGATTAATTTTACCTTTACTACGGCTCTGGTACAGCCTAGGGCTATGTGACTGCAAACAGTTGCCAAATAAGGCAATGTAACACTGTTGAGTTCTTAGAATGCTGGTACTTAAGTAAATTATTCTAATCTCTTAAGCTTCACCCTGTTACTTCTAGTCCCAAACAATCTGTTCTTTCCAAATTCAGATTGTATGCTCCTATTGTGCTCCCCCCCCACCCCTCTTTGGGCAGCAGTTTTTTCTAAGTAGTTGAACATGTTCTAAGGGAAGACTACCAGCCTTTCCCTTATCTGCAATCAGTCATGCAACCTCATTTCATAAATTCTGCTGAGAGATCAGCTGTCTTCAACCAGCAGGTCTTGTGTTAAGCAGTTCAGTGAAGAAAAACAGACGATTGTGTTACCTCTGCTGAGATCTCCTCAAATCTCACAGAGCAGCCATTCCATTAAGCCTCCTCAACTCTTTCTATATTAACTAGCAAGAATAGGAGGTGTAAATTTACAATCTGGTGCATAAGCCCATCTTTTCCCCCCCCTCCCCCATCCTTTTTCTTTCTGTAGTGTGGTGTTGTAGAAAGTAAGGAAGATAAGCAGAGACTGTCTCGCTTCTAGGAAAGTGACAGCTCTACTAACAGAACATTATAAACAGGCCCAAATCCTAAGTTCCAGACTGTTTCCGGTGCCGGAAGATTCTCATTTTGCACAACTCCGCTTGGTATTGATATTTGTAAACCTATTTTCAGAGCCCTTCTGCTTAAGAGGACTAAATGTTTTGCACACCTAATTAAAACCGTGCTGTCAATTTATGAAGCGGCATTAGCACCAAGTTTGCTTTAAAACACAAACTTTAGAGAAGCCCCCCCCCCTCTCATTATTTGTTTTGCTCTTTGCTGATTTCCCAGCAGGCCTTTATTTTAAAGAAAATTAAGACAGCACCCTAAGTCAACCCAAGGCTCTTTTTTTTTACTGCAGTAGCCTACTTTTAGTTACATAAACAAATCCTCTTTGCTTTGTATAGCACTGCAGCGTCTTGAAAACATGCCCAATTTATTTAAAAGAACTGTTGAAAAGTAATGTTAAGACGTCGTCACTTACAGAAAGATCATAGACACGACGGAGAGCATGGCCGCTGGAAACCATGATTTTTCCCAACGAAGGATCTTGTCAGTTACCAGAATCACCTCACCCCATCCCTGCAACTGCTCTTCCAAGCCAGCTGTCTCTGCGGCCTGCAGCAAAATATTAAAAGGTATGTATATTCCATAAGCCAGACATTTTTAAATAATGACATCTGCAAGCTTTTTTTCCCCTTGATGTTAAATTTGAAATAATCTATAATTGAAGACTTGCCATTTGGGGGAAGAAAAAAAAACATCTGAGAAAAGGTTTGAGTTTAGCTAAATGTTGTGTACCCTGACCCTTGCTGAAATCACTGAAGCAACTTTGGTACCCTTAACAAAACATCCTGTTTGTTCCTCTTCCTGTTACCATGGCTATCTTAGCAAGTATCACTTGAAACCACAGAGGGAGATGCACAGGGAGATGTCAGAAAAAAAACCCACCAAAATGAAATTCATGGGTTTTTTTTCTTTAAATAGCTCTCGGCACGTATTAGTTCAGTAAGCAAGAAGTACATTGTGATCACATTTGCAGGAAAGGGATATGGTGGGTGTTATATAATCTGCAGCAAGACATATAAGGAAAATCTACCCAATGCTGCATTTGTCAAAGTGATCCCTCCTCAAGGTTCTAGCACCTTGGGTGATCTTGTATCCATCCAGGCTTTCACAACTAGAAAGTGAAAGTGGTATGTGCTCTGTAGCAGTCATTGGTAGCCCACAGGCAAGTAGTTGGCCAGTTTTGTGTAATGGTAAACATCCTGAACTAGAAACCAGGAGATTGTGAATTTTAGGCCTGCCTTGGGCATGCTAACCAATATAATCTAACAATCATCATTCCCAAGGAAAGTTGGAGGTCACAACTCCCACAGCCTGTTGCAGGGAATGCGGCAGACCGGCCTTCTGGGCATTATCTCAAGAGTTGGAGAGAACAACTCCCATAAAACCAGTTTGGTGTAGGGGTGAAGGTGCTAGAAACCAGGAGACAGTGAGTTCTAGATGCATCGGAGACCTGGAAGCAGCTGGGTGACTTTGGGCCAGTCCTTCTCTTAACCCACCTGCAGAAGGTGGTCGTAAGGAAAAGAGCCAGCAGGAATATTAGGTATGTCTACCCCCCTTACAAATGGGACAGCCATTTGTCTAAGATGGTATAGAGTCTCCTGCTTGAGCAAGGGGTTGGACTAGAAGACCTCCAAGGTCCCTTCCAACTCTGTTATTCCGTCTTCTGTAAATCAGGACAAATTTGCATTCCAGTGGAAAAATATGTCATCATTTAAGTTTTGATCTCTCTCTGAAATATTCCATGCCTTGTTTGATTTAAGGTGGGATGTACAGCCAACAGCAAAACAACACTGGTGCGTGGCTATCCTCCTTAGATTTAAAAGGTGGGATAAAAACAGGATGATGTATGTCGCGATATGTATGGATAAGTAGTAGTAGTCCTCGACTTACAGCCATTCATTTAGTGACTCTTTGAAGTTACAAGGGCAATGTAAAAAATGACTTACGACCATTTTTTACACTTATACATTGCAGCCTCCCTGTGGTCTCATGATCAAAATTTGGAGGCTTGGCAACTGACTCTTATTTATGATGGCAGCGTTCTGGGGTCACGCGATCCCCTTTGGCGCCCTCTGACAAGCAAAGTCAATGGGTGAGGCCAGATTCACTTCACAACCGTGATGCTAACTTAACAACTGCAGTGATTCACTTAACAACTGTGGCAAGAAAGGTCGCAGAATGGGGCAAAACTCACTTAACAACTGTCTAACTTGACAATGGAAATTTTGGGCTCAGTTGTGGTCATAAGTGGAGGACTACCTCCACTCGTGTTAGGGAGAAACAACCTTCTGCTGTTTAAACAATCTTGCAAACTAAAGAACTAAGGAGGAATTTCCTGACAGTCAGAACAATTAATCAGTGGAACAACCTGCCTCCAGAAGCCGTGAATGCTCCAAGACTGGAAGTTTTTAAGAAGAGACTGGACAGCCCTTTGTCTGAAATGGTACAGGGCAGGGGTCTTTAAACTTGGTCCTTTTATGACTTGTGGACTTCAACTCCCAGAATTCCTCAGCCAGCGTGCCTGACTGAGGAATCCTGGGAGTTGAAGTCCACAAGTCATAAAAGGGCCAAGTTTGAAGACCCCTGTTGTAAATTGAGGACTACCTGTATTTCTCTGGTAATTGTGTATTAAGGGGCCATATCTTATCATTTAATCTGCACCTCTGAAGCAATTTAAAAGAGGCCCTATCCACTTAATCATAAAACAATGAGATGGTAAGTCAGTGTAATTTAACATTGTGTTAAGTACATTTCTTGCGGAATATCTTTGTGGTTGGCATCAGTAAGTGGCTCAACCGCTCAAGAACATGAGAAGAGATTAAATTTGCCTTCTACTTTCCAATTCTTCTAGAAAATTCTTCGGTGTAGACCAGGGGTTTTATGATTTGTGGACTTCAACTGCCAGAATCCCTCAGCTACCACAAGTCCTAAAAGGGCCAAGTTTGAAGATCCCTGGGTATGGGGGGGGGTCTATATTTTTTCTATCCTGCTCTATGGAGTAGAGAGCTGGTCTCGGACAGAAGGCCACCTGAAGAGACTAGAAGCATTTGAAATGTGGATTGACAGGCGGCTGTTACGTATAAGCTGGGCGGACAAGATCAGAAATGAGGGGGTGATCAGCCGCCTGGGAAAGCCAAGGGAACTCATCAAAACAATTAAAAAGCGAAAATTAGAATATTTCGGACACGTGATGCGACACCCAGGAAAATACGGCATGCTCCATTTCATCCTCCAGGGAAAGATGGAAGGCAAACGAGGTCCAGGCAGAAGAAGAACATCGTGGCTTCAAAATCTCAGGGACTGGTTTGGACAAAACTCAGCAGCACTTTTTCGTGCGGCGGCTGATAAAAACAGGATCGCCAACGTCCAATAACGGATAGGGCACAAGAAGAAGAAGGAGGGTATGGGGTTTCCTGCCTGAGCAGAGGGTTGGACTAGATGACCTCCAAAGGTCCCTTCCAACTCTGATATTCTATTCTAAGTTCCAGACTGGCTCGGCCATCGCAGGCCAGGCTATCTGGAGGGCAGGAAGCCACCATCCTTATCAACCAGATTAAGGGGGGGATGGGGTCAGTTTGCACAACTCTGTTAAATTACAAGCTAAGCAAACACATGAGCACAACCTCCTAGTCTTGTCTTGTAAAGTCATTCCTCTCTTTCCCCCACTCCCGCCACCCTTTTCCCTCTTATTATGCAAATCCAGCCCCGTCGAGTGATTCAGCTCCCTCGGCTTAAAAAATAAAAAATAAAAAAGGAAAAGGCATGGATCGGGTGGAGCGCGGCCTTCCTGTGCAGACGAGCCGCCGAAATCACCGGGGGCAAGGCGAAAACCCCGGGAAACACACGCATGGGGGGATGTTCAGGCAGGCAGGCGTTAAGTCGGCGGCATACACGGAGGTTTGCGCGTTCACACGTTGCGCGGGCTGTGCGGACGTGAGGCCCGTCCCCCGCGCCGTCTGCACGCGTTCTGAGGGCCGAGTGGCGTCCGAAAGGCCGGTTCCCCCCCCCCGCCTCAGGCAGAGACGCCCCGAGGAGGCTACGAGCGCTTCCTTTCCGCCCGCCTCAGACGCGCTGCTTCCCCGCAACCGCCTCGCGGCTCCGGGCAGCCGCTTCCTCGGCGCGTCTAATGCCCGGCCCCAGCGCTTTCTCGCCCCCTTCTCGCCGCCGCCGCCTCCTCCCCCTCGGTCGCTCGGCCCTCACCCACCAGCAGGTTGGTGCTCCGGTTATCGCCCTCCGCCATTTTGTGCGGCAGCCGCAGCGCCTCGTCGTCCCGTCGCTCCCCTGGCCTCGCGCGGCCACGCCCCCCTCCACCCGCCCACCCACCCACGGGCGAGGGCCTCGCCGCTTCCTATTGGACAGGAGCGCGCTCGGAGGCGGTCCCTCGTTCGAAGGAGGATCAATCGCCGTCTTTTCTTTCCTGCCGTCGTTCGGGTTGGCGCGTGGAAGGGGGAGGAGGCAGGCAAGGCCCACCCCGCCCCCGGGGAAGAAAAACCACGCCTTTTTTTAACGGCTCAGGAAAGTAAGCTGGGAGGCTGCAAGGGTGCTTGAACTCCAGCCCCCATAAGCCCCAGCCAGCAGGCACGAGGGGAAACTGTCATGCTGCCTTTTGAATAAGCTTGCAGTCTAAGTACTTTTTACTCCCATTAAGGTTTAGTCAAGAAACCTATGCTTTTGACCAGGGCTCTTCGAACTTGGCCCTTTGATGACTTGTGGGCTTCAACTCCCAGAATTCCTCAGCCAGCGTGCCTGGCTGAGGAATTCTGGGAGTTGAAGTCCACAAGTCATCAAAGGGCCAAGTTTGATGACCCCTGCTTTTGACTGTTGCAAGCCAAAAGTTGACTTATTATTACCTAGTTTGAGCAATGAAACTTCTGCAGGAAAACAACCAAGCTCAGAGACCACCATGGACTCGACATTTCTCCTAATTGGGTCAAATTAAATACTCCTTTAATTTAGAGGAAGTGATTTCCTTTACCAGCAATATGTCAGTCGGAAGATAAAAGTGCTCAAAAGAGGAAAAAACAGTGGGAAGGTGCTCCCCAATGCAAGCTTGCTATTTTGCATATTGCCCTAAAGTAGAACCTGCACTGAACAGGAAAAGGATGCGATCTAAAAGCATAAGCACAACAGGAAGGTGACGCTAAGTAGGTTTCCCCGTGTATTCATGTATTTTCGTGTTTTTAAAGGCTATAGTCCTGATCTGCAAGTAGGCAAAACTTTACACTGGAAAGAAAGGGAGGGGGGGGTGAGACAATAGCAACTTTTGCCCAAGTTCCTTTGTGATTGTGCATTCCAAAGGGGGAAGGGAATGTATCTTTAATTAACAGTGATCAAATACAAAATTAAAAATAGCCGACTGGAAATGGTGTTGGGTTTTTTTTTAAACTCCAAATGAGCAAAACGTGTAAAATCAGATCTTCCAGGAACAACACTTTCTGAAGGATTCCAAAGCCACCTGTTCCTCTTCTACCTTGCCAACAACCTGCCAATCTTCGGCACCTCTGAAGCAGCAAACACCGCCAGAGGATTAACCTTCAAAAAGGTGAAATCTGGAACAGGCAGCGGAGGGGGGAAAAAGGTTGTCTTTTGCAAATAACTAATTCAGAGATGAAAGATGTTTCTATGCATCCAGTGTATACCTGGGGATTTAGTAGAAACTGTGTGATAAGACATTAAAGTTCCAATTTCTTTTCCGTGTCTGCCTGTCAAAGTGATGGGGTGAGTATTCCAAATTGGGACAGAGACAACACCCAAAGGTGCTTTTAATATCTCCAGTATAGAAATCCCAAAGGTGCTTTTTTTCCAAAAAAGAAATTGGACCCTTGCTTTTTTTCTTTGAAAACGTTTCGCTTCTCATCCAAGCTTCTTCGGTTCTCGTAGAATTAAAACTAGTAGAACTAGAACTAAAGAAGCTTCTTGGATGAGAAGCGAAAAGTTTTCAAAAACAAACAAACCAACCAACCAACCATGTCCAGTTGCCTTTTGGAAAAAAGCACCTTTGCGACAACCATGACTTGGATGATTGAGAATCTCCACAGACATCCCGTAGAGAAGCTTTCGTACTTTGAAACTTGTTTCAGAAAGAAAGAAAAAACAAAGGCATACAGGGAATTAATTAATACAGGTAGATTTTTTTTTTTAGTTTTATTACATTATGCAGTAAAGACCCCATTCAGTACAAGTTTCATTTTTCAACAAAAGTATAAGCATACATGAAAGACAGGTGTAAGTGGCTTGTTCCACCCACAGCTTCCAAGAAATAAAATATGTAATTCTCTTATCCCAACTGCTGTCCATATGCAGACTGCTGGTTAATGATGCTTCACACTGGGAAGGATAACAACGCTGCAGTCACCAGCTGGATGAATTCCGACTCGGCTTTTTAAAGAGAAATTCAGCTGTCTTCATTTTTTGCAGAACGTGGCGAAGGGGTTAAGAGTATCAGATCCAAATACATTTACTCACAAGCATTAGCAAATATGTTGGCAGTGCAACGTGACAAATTCAGGGCAAGTTATCAAAATGAAAGACAAAAAAGCCTATATGAAAAATAGATAAAAGCATCAAGTCAATCTTTAATTAGATATATTGAGGAGGTCAAAGGGTTTTTCCTCCATAACAGCATCAAGTCAATTCTTTATCGGATAGCCTACGGAAGCCAAAAGATTTTCTACGTTATAAAATACTGGTAATTTTTTTTTTACATCCTTATCCTGAACTGTATTTATGTCATAGGCTGTTTCAAAAAGAGAGGCCTAAACATCACCTTTGATGAATAGGTGGGTATTATTGTACAGGAATATTTCCTCCCTTGAAAAGCTTTTTTTAAATATTCAAAATACTACAGAGGGTATGTGCATAATCCTGATTTGCTCTTTCAAATTAGATTAAGTTCACATACAGAGGTGGGAGGTGGGGGAGGAAGGGTGTGTGCCCTTCAAGTCACCGGTAAGTAAATCAGGAATCAGCCTGATTTTTTTTTTCTTAGGCAACACTAACACCAGCTCATGAATAACTGAATTTTTTTTTATTTCACAGCCAAGCAAAACACTGAAGATGTATGGAAACAGACTGGTTTAAAGTGCCTTTTTAATAAGCAATGTTTCTCACACCCACCATTCAAAAAGTGCACGGTAGATTTTAGGAAAACGGGTTGGGGGGACAAAAAATATCCACTATGAAATCTATTATACAGAACACCACCTTTCAGAAGTCATATGGAAAAGTTAAACGCCATACAAAATCTTTGTACGGTTTCGTCTGGAAAGAACCCGCCTCCACCCCCCCTCCCCAAAGTCCATTTTCAGTTTATGTCTGCCTTTTAAATCCCCAGATCGAACTGAAAGCACTCTACGTTGGTGTGTAAATCAAAAATTTGAAGCGAATCAGCATAAAACTACCTCCACTAAAGCTTCACTTTTATTGATTTTTTTTCTGTCACCAACAACATAAAAGGCTAATTAAGATATTGTAGTTGCGCTTTTTTTTTTTTCTCCCTTCCTTTTCCCTTCCTCGTTGCAAAAGGTAAAAAATTACATCGGAGTAGCTACGTTTACAAAAGGAACTACAGCAAATCACAACAGAATGAGGCTTGGTAGGCAGGCCGAGGGTGGAATTACCAAAGGAGTATGCACACACTGCAAGCAGGAAGAGGAGCAGATGAAATCGGACGCCTGTTCGACGTGGTTTTTTTTTTTTTTTGAGATGCACAGTGAATCCGGGCAAACTGTACATGATAAGAGTCCTCAAAAGGAAAGCAAAGAACACACCCCTCGCTTTAAAAACCAACCCAAAAAAATTGCATTGGATCAGCCCATTCAGAAGGCAATGGCTTTCTTTTTAAATGTTCGGCATGCCCTGTGCTTTTTTTGTGTTTTTTTGTTTGTTTGTGTTTTTTGGAGATGTGGCTGGCCCAAAAGGAAAAACAAAAGATCCCTTTGACTGAAGAGTGAAATACCAAGGATTGAAAATCAACACTTCTCTGGGGGAGGAAAAAAAATAAAAATAAAATCACCACACGAAGTTGAAAGAGAAGAAACCAGGACAGGGAAAAAAAGAACTTGAAAAAGAAAAGAAAAAAGACTCTCTTCTCAGAGGGTTCTTCCATACAGCCGATGTACAGCTTTTTTTTTTTTTTTTTGCATTTCAGTCTTATTTCTGAAGTTCATCGCGCGTGTAGCTGTTTGGTTTGTGTGTTTTTTTTTCCTCCATTTTTTTTTCTCTCTCTCTTTTTTTTTTTACCTATTCATTTTTTGCACCCACTGGTCGACTCCAACCAGCGCTGTTGCTTAGCAACGAGAGCGACAAGGAACTCAAAAATCTCCCCACAATCTTCCTTTGCTGCAGTTTTTCTTCACGCCCGCCCTCCTTTTTTTTTTTTTAGGGGCAGGAGGAGAAGGGGGGGGAAGGCGCGCTTGTTGTCGTCGTCATCGTTTTTTCCTGGATTGTTCACAGGGTCAGGTGGAACCGCCGTTCCAAAATCCCTCCTGTGGTCGGTTAAGCGTTCCCAATTCCCTTTCTGCAGCTAGTCCCTCCCAAGACCCCCCCCCTGGACACCTTTGCAGTTCTTCTGGAGCAGAAAGACGTCCTTCCACTCTTGACCCTGGGAAAGGGGGGGGGAGAGAGAGAGGGGAGGGGGTGTCCAGGCCATTTGTGTTTAGCATATCCCTGAGTGCAGCTACCCTGCAGGGCTGACGTTCCCAGTGCACCGAGATTGCCGAGGTCTCCTCACAGTAAGCCCCAGAAAGGCGTTATACCACCAGCTGTGGTGCTGCTATGGATGCCTGAGGCCCGGTTGATTCGGATGGATGCCGCTCGCCTCGCTGAACCAAACTGACCCATTCTCTTCCTGTTCATACCCAGGCAGTCCAACCTTCATAGAGCTGAGCCAAGTTATCTAGATTAGTGGCTTCCTTAATCACATAGTCAACCTAAGGGGACGGCAAATTAGAAAGTTAGAGCTTCCCGGACCGGTGCAGAGAGACGCTGCTGTGAACGTTTGATCAAGAATACCCACCCTTACAGTACGCTAGGCAGGGGAGAGGGAAAAAAATCAGCTTTAAAAACTCCTGTCGCCAGCTAGAGACGACATTTGCACATATAGTTCTCGGCTGACGACCGCAAAATTGGCGCTGGAAGACCCGCAGCTACAGTAGTGGCCAAAATTGTGGAAACCTTTTGGGAAACTTTTAAGAAGAGACTGGACAGCCGTTTGTCTGAAATGGTGTAGGGTTCCTGCCTGGGCAGGGGGTTGGACTCGATGACCTCCAAGGTCCCTTCCAACTTTATTATTATTATTAT